TTGTATAGATTGAGCGCTTCAGCAGAGCTTATTGAATCAGCTGTTAGATAAAAGCCCTGCTAAAGCACCTGATCTATACAGATATTGGGCGAATCAGGTCTAAGAAAAGTGATGCTTTTTCTGGACATGCACTAGGCTTGGTGCAGGAGCGCATTGAGTTTAAAGCACTGGGTTTTTTATTATTAATTTTTAATGTTTAAGCAGCCATAGTGTACTCCTGCTGGGCAGCGTGCCAGGCTGCTGGATGCATGTGCTTTTAGCTTCGGAGTAAGTTCTAGCAGACTCTGTGCCTGCCATTCCTCCAAACAGAAAACACAGGTTTTTCAGAGGGTTCCAAACCAATGACTCTTGCTTTTAGATAGCGCAAGTGTACAGATCTAGTCAAAATAAAATACATGTGTGCATTTTGCTGCCTCATTTTGATCTTCCAGTGTATGGAACCTATCGCTTCTGCAGCCGGCATCCTTTCTTCCTTGGCTGGTCATGTAGCTTGCAAAGAGATTTTTTGCTACACAAGCTCATTCTTTTTTCTTGCTCAAGTTTTCTTTTGTCTTTTGGGAATCATTCTTCTGAATTGCTTATGTTCTACGACTTAACTGCTTCTGGCTAAGTTCCACTCCTTCAAACTCCACTCTTCTCTAGAGAAACTGGTGGAAAACTGGCTTCATCTAGGCTGCAGTTGGGTTTTTTTTTTCTTGCCTAGTAAAAGTATGTTCAAGTACAGTAGTCTTTAATGATCAGCATGGATCCAGGTTTTCCATTTGCCATGGAAAAGCACGGATTTTCCCCTTTTTAAAAGAAAAAAAATGCAGGAAACCCTGGGTTTTCCCCTGCAGGCTGGCAGAGTTCTAGCTTACAAGGGGCTGCTTGGGGCTGAGGGGAGTAGGACCGGGGGGGGGCAGCTCTGGCTCCTCAGCAGCCATGGAGGTGCTGTACTCCCTCCTGCTCCAGGTCCTGCCTGCTGGGCCGTAGAGGCAACTCCTGCCCCGAGCTGGTCTGGCCTGGCTGCAGCCCCGCACCACACTGGGTGCAGAAATCTGGGGAGGCATGTGCTCCTCTGCCCCCCTCTATACATTGCCTGTGCCCTCACTGAGACACTGGGGGGGCTGCTGGATGGGAGTGAGGGGTGCCAGAATATCAGGGTTGCTCAGTGCCACAAAGCAGGGGCGGGGAGGAAGGGGAGACAGCCTCCGCTTGACCCACACCCTGGTGAGCTAAGAGGGCAGGGGGAGCTCTGATTTTTCCATGATAAAAAAAACACCCCAAAATCAGACACCAATATATATAGGTATTTAGAATTTAATGTATTATAACGACTGAGGCGCACCGGTTGGCTTTCAAATTGCTTTAAAATGGCAAATATATCAATAGAGCATTGTGTTAAACTGATATCTATATATAGTGGCATTTCATTTTAATTGCAGAAAAATGTGGATTTTGGGGGTTTAATCAGAGAATTTTAAACAGAGAAAACCAGGAACCTTCATGATTAGTCTCTTTGTGGATCAACATGGTGATGTCAACTTGGCAAAAGGCACTGAAGCAGAATAGAGTGAAAGGCAGAAGGATGCAGATCATTTATAACACCAACCTGTAATCCAAAATTTGTACATATACAGATTCTACAAGTAATCCCAAAAGAGATTTTTTTGCATGTAATTTTGCTGGGTGCTTGTTCATGTGGGTGAGAAATATGAGTTCCATTAGTTATTCGTGTATCTTCTTTTCACTGTGTGTGTCTTCTGTTCACTGTTTGTATCCTGAATCTTGAGCAAATCAGCACAGTGACTAAAAGCATAACAAACAACAGGATAAAAGGCACATCCACTCTACTGCACGGATTGCCTAATGTATAAGACAAGGTATTTCAACTCGTTTTCAGATGGAGTAAGCTGCTTCATACAAAGGTTCTTAGTGCACAGTAAGAGTGTTTGCACAGTCAGTTCGGAGTAGCTAGTGTGAATTTACTGCGTACCTAGTTTACTAATAACTTTCTTATGTATGCAGGCCCTAACAACACTTGCCAAGGAAAAAGGAGGGTGTTTTGCCAGAGGCAGGGATGGACTGTGGAGGCCATATGCTGAGTCTGGAAAATGGTTTGGCTTGGGAAAGAACCTGGCCTAGTCATCTCTTTCTTCTTGGGCTGTTGGGCAGGAGTTGAACTTTTTGTTTGTTCCTTGGTGAATGGGAAAGTAGAAAGCTGGTGATCTCTAGAGTCTTATGCTAGATTTGGGAGGATGGTCAGGTGAAATCTTGCCGCTGGGGGGGGGGCCCCCCCCCCCCCCCCCCAATCTTCCCCTTCCACGCAGCTGTTTTGGCAGGTCATAGCATAGCAGTAGTAGTACCAGATTTTCTTGCAGACAACAGGGACCTTTTTTCACCAAAAATCATTCCACCCCAGAATTGGGGTGCATTGGGGAAACTGTTTTCTTCACTCAGAAAGAAGCATACCTGCTGACATTGTGCATGCCATTCAGCTGCCGAGATGGCTCCACTTGTCGGTCTCAGGAAGTAGAAGAGGCAGAGTCATACGTTAACTCTCACAGCTATATGCTATTGACTGAGCACTCTAGCTTGTGCCTGAAGCAACAAGTGAGATGCTGGTAGTATCTTGATGAGGCTTGTGATGTGGAAATAATGCTTTTATTTATAGGAACTTCATATTGAGAGCTATTCTACAGTAAAGAACTAACAGTCTTAAGAGTCTTGGGCCTAGCCACACGTGACATAAAGCAAGTCCATGTGAGAACATAGTATCCAGGAAGTGTGGCATCCCGGAGGACAGTCCGCCACACCAAGTTCTTGCTGCTTGCTATTTTACCAAACAGTCGCATAGGATGCCACACTTCCTGGATACTATCCTCCAGGAGGGCTTGCTCTGTATCACACAAATCAGCCATGACTCTAGAAAAATCTATTTTATTTTTTTTAAACATTCTGCTTTCCAAAAAAAAAAAAAGTGCATTGTATTTGAGGGTGTACATGGGAAAAAAAATACAGTATAAGTAAGTACTTGTCCTTTTAAGAAGCTTGTACACGATTAACCAAATTGGATGGAGAGAACTGGCTGTGGGCCAATGCCTGGAGCTTCTGCTCCTAAACAATTAGGGCATCTTTACACGTGCTGTCGGGGTGTGTTTGTGGGGGAGGGTGCTTTAGAGTGGCTCCCAAAGCACCCACAGATCTTGTGTATTCAGCATCCCAAGCTTCAAAATGGTGGCGGGGGTGCTTTTAACTTCAGCTTGAATGAGCTTTAGTTAAAGCCCCCCTGCTGCCATTTTGAAGCATGGGGATGCTGAATACATGCGATGATGAGGCTGCTGGAGCATGCTAATTAACATGCATCAGAGCAGGTGCCATACATGTGTATATAGGTGCCCTTATATGTTAGTTGCTTCCAGTTGTATTTCTTCTTGCCCTCTCTCCCCACTTTGTTTACTTATTAAAGCTAACCTGTTCCTGAAAGTTAACTATGGCTTGTACTGAACTCACAAACAATATAGTATGGACCCAGTGTTTGAGTGTTTACATTCAGTTGATGGGTCCACAGTGAATCCCCCGTGCTGAGGAATGCAGAGACGGGGGAGAAGCCAGCCCAGGGCTGCCTGTTCCCCTGTCTTGAGGCACCCTGCACCACAACCAGGCAGGGAGAAATAGACTTTTTGGTCAGGTCTGTTTTTCATGAGAGAAACAGAATTTCTGGCTAGGTCTACACGAGCAGGGGTGTGCTCACAAGTAGTAACAGTACTAATTTGTGCCGCTACTTTGTGGTGCAGTGCATGTCCTGCCTGTGTGCTTTGCAGCAGGACATGTTGTCCTGCTGCTCCACATACTGCATGAGGGGCTAGTGGAGGCACAGCATGCCTCTGCAGGGGCTAGCCATCTCCTGTGCTAAGGCGCTCTGTGCTGGGCCACCTGGGGAGCAGGCAGCCTTGGGCTCCCTGCTCCCCTATCTCCATGTGCTGCGGCACCCTGTGCCCCAGCCAACCATTCCCTACCTGGCTGGGGTACAGTGTGCCTTGAGAGAGTGTAGCAGGCAGCCTTGGGCTGGTGGCTCCCCTGTCTCTCTGTGCCTCAGCATGGGGGCTCTGCAGTGAAGCCTCCACACTGAGGTACATGGAGACGGGAGCCACCAGCTCAAGGCTACCTGTTCCCCCATGTCAAGGCACACTGTGCCCCAACCAGCTGCTCTGTGGCTGGCTGGGGCACAGTGTGCCTCAGCGTGGAAGCTACTAGTGTCTAAGCTAGGGGGATCCACAGTTTGGGGGCTGAGGCACAGGGAGACAGGGGAGCAGCCAGCTCAGGGCTGCCTGCTCTTCCATCTTGAGGCACCTTGCATCCCAGCCAGCTAGGGAATGGCTGGCTGGAGCACAGAGTGCCTCAGCATGGAGGCTCTACAGCGCACAGAGGTGGGGGAGCACGTAGCCTTGGGCTGCCTGCTCCCTCATCTCCATGTGCTGCTCCCTGGCTGCCTCAGCACAGGGTGCCTTAGCGCAGAAGATGGCTAGCCCCTGCTTGAGCATACTGTGACCCTGCTAGCCCCTACCCGTAGCATGTGGAACAGCAGGACATTGTGTCCTTCTGCAAAGCACATGGACAGGAGCGTACATTGTGCCACAAAGTAAAGGCATGAATTTGTGCTGCTACTATTTGTGGGCATGCCCACCGCGCCCCCCACCCCCATGTGTGGGCCCAGCCAGAAAGTCTGTTTTCTCTCTTGAGAGCTTGTATTGCATGTTAGGTGTTGGCGTTTCTCAAAATTCCAAGACTGTTTTATAACAGGGCTAGGTAATAGAAATCTAGTACCACCTCTCTGTTAAATGAATTAACAGATGTTTTAGTAAGTATACATTGAAAACTCTTGCCCTGGTTACATTGGAGTCCAGCCAGAACATTGTGAATTCATTGACTTGCAACTACAATTGTAAATAAATGTTAATTTACATTTGCTTAGCTCTTCCCCTAAGTAATGTGATTTTTCCTCTCCTCCTTTCCCCAAGTTTCTATGGAGATTTTGGACCTTTAAACTTGGCGATGTTATACAGATACTGCTGCAAACTAAATAAGAAATTAAAGGTAAGTAATTTTCTCTTTTCAAATATTTTGGTACAGGAATATAAACACAGTGCTATACAGCTCTGTTTGTTAAAGCAGTTATTATGCAAGCATCATTTAGATAGTTAACCTTGAGCTTTAGACACTGGATTTGTTTTTTCTTACCATGAATAGACTCTAGTGAGGAACTGAAAATTGAGCCTTTCTGTTGAGTAAGGCAACCACAAAGGACGCACCTATTCTTTATCCGGCTTGGAGTAGAAAGTTAGGGGTAGTGAGCAAAGACATGAGCCAGAATTCTTATCAGTTGTGTTGATGTCTCTTGAGGTTTGTTTTTTTTTTTATTGCTAGTAGAACTGCCTGTAAACTACAGTCATGTTAATGTATCCACTACTAAAAAAGTCAAGGGATCAAAAACAGCGTGAATAGCTTCTTATAAGCAGAAACAAAATGCATACTGAATTGAATTTTTGTGAATAGAAAAGCCTGAACTTCTGTGATGACCTTTATGTGTTCTTAATCCTAAACAGGGCATTTAAAATATGATACAGACTTAAGCCATCAAATGCCCTTCTTATACTAGGATGTTTTGGAGACTAATGGCAATTTCTAAATAAAACCATCTTCTGTGCAATGATCATTTACTGGACCACATCACTTCTCCATATTGTTGAATGTACCCATTGTTTATGACTGTACTGCCATTGGTGCTCCCTGCTGCTGTGTAGTTTCCTGCTTTGTCATAAACATACAGGATAGGCAGCCATTTTGCTGTTAGTTTTGGAAACATCTTCATATATAGCAATGCTGGCATATTGTAAGCACCAGTAATCCCATGATCCATGTAGGTCTCAATTCAACTTTTACCTCCAAATGTCAAGGAAAAAAGATAGCTAGGATTTACGATAAATACAGAAAACTATTGAGATGAACTGACTTTATAAGAAACAAAGCAAATGGATTCTGATTAAAAATGTTTTAAGGGTGCTTTTCTATTTTTTAATCAACGAGATTTTTTTCACTTTACTGAGCTTTGTTATTCCCTCGATTCTTCTTTAAATTCCAAATACAATGTAAATGTGATTAATAACCAGTTGAGTAATAGAAAGTATTAGCATAACAGGAAATAAATTATTTCCAACTAATTAAATGGAGTGTTTTTTAATGTTTCAGACAGAATTTTTACCTCCATGTTCATTTTCAGAACAAGATGATATAATTCTAATTCCATTTTAGTTTCTTCACTTCAGGATAGAGAAAAACATTTTCTAAGTAACAAAAGCAATTCCCTGCAAAATGAACTAGACACCTTTTCAACATTCCTGGTAACAAACCAACTTTTAATGTAGACAAGATGCAGCTATTGATGTCCTAACATTCTTCAACACAACTGAACTATTAAGAAGATGCAGCCCAATTAGAAAGTGTTAGTGTTGGAGATGGAAGCCAAATTTAGAGGATGCCTGACTGCTCTGTTGTTGAGTGGTAGAAGGAATAATAGTCTGTGGCATCCTCAATATCTAATAGAGAGGTTAATTCTTGCACTAACTTTCCTTAAAGTGAAAGGTGTGCAATGGAAGTTTCTTAAAGTGTTTAATCAGCCGTCAAAGTCCTCTGGAAGCTGCTTAGTTTCAAGGGGTGCCTATATATGTACATTGAGGCTTCTCCAACATGCTGTAACTACAACGCATCGGAGAAGACTCAATCAAATCTGCTGGAGCGTGGTAATTTCTGTACTCCAGTAGACTCCAGCGTCATGTGCTCAAACGGGCTTTAGTTAGTGCCACGCCACCATTTTCCAGCATGGTGTTGCTGATGCGTACGATGTTCAGCATGTGTATAAATACCCAAGGATGTTTCTTTTCAAAGGCATCCTGCAACAGTAGTTTTTTGTTCCCTTTTTTCCCCCTCTCCTAGCTGATGAGATCTATGTCCCCTCATTAAGAACTGACAGGTTTTCAGTAAAAGGAAATCTAAACCACTCATTCCTTTGAACCTGAGAGTGTATTCTTTCCTAAATTAAGAGTTAATTTTTTTGGAAGTGTTAAGTTTTGACACCTCCTGTCCAGTAGTAATCTTTCAATTTTTTTTATAAAGGGGCCTTATCAAAAGGTCCTTAATTTTATTCACTCAGGTATAGACAAGATTTCTAATGTTGTTTTTAACAATACTCTTCAAAATTTTCTATTCCTGCAGTATAAAGTGACACAGAAATGTTGCCTGCATTTAATGAACAATTAAATGGTAAATAACATTTGTGATTATGAACCACAGGCTTTCTAGTGACAAAAGATGTTCAGTCATTGGAAGTCACAGCTTTGGAAAAGCAGGATCTATGATCCCAGTGATCTGGGACTTTTTGCAGATAAGGTAGCTTCCACAGTGGCACTTTTCAGCATTGCCAGAAGGGGAGCTTCTCTCATACAGTCTTTAGAAATTGATCTGCTGCAGAACTCTAGAACAGACAACTTGCAGGAACTTGGACATGTAAAGTAAAAAGTAAAACTTTATGCAAGGCATAAAGTTGTAAATAACAAGCTGTGAAGTTAAACATACTCAAATCCCTGAAAGGAAACTCTGAAAAGAAAACAGCTGCATTTTTGCAAAAATAAAGTCTAGTAAAAATGATTGCTTTCTGTGTTATAACAGCTGCAAAACCTGGAGCCTTAATGTTGTTTTGAAATTGAGAACTCAAAATGGCCAGAGAATCTACCTTTTAATTTTTGTCTTTTTATACAGTGGCATTATATAATCTGTATTTGATAACACCAATTTTTTCTTACTCCACATGTCACTTAGTCACAGGGTAAAAGGGTGTCACTCACTAAGAATATATTCAATTTTTTTTATTCTTATTGCTCAGCCTATAACCTAATGTTTTACTTACTACATGATTTGTATCCTGCTCAGGAGTATTGATTACCTCTTTGATTTCTTCTCTTGTGATACCCAGCTAATAACACATATGGTACCCAGCTAATAACACATTTAGGGTGCACTATGGGACTGGTAGTGCCCCATACAATAGTTACCCACCCTCAGACTGTGGTACAACAAGGATGTTTGCTTGCTTCATTCCTTTTTTTTAAATTCATTTTAGAGTGATCTAAAACAAGTGCTAACTAGAGAGTAATTACCATGGTATTGAATGACCCTATCCCTGTCTTGCATTATGCAGATAACACAGTGTTGCAAACCCAAATAGGCCTCCAAAGGTTATTTGCTACTTTCTGGTAGCATTGTTCCTCAAACAGCTACGTTGATTTCCAAGCCAAATCCAAAGTGTTGGTTTTCAGGGATGGAAGGAGGAAATGAGTTTGGTTTTTACAGGAAAAGAAACTAGAGGCCATGTCTTGTAAATAGCTTGGAGTCTATTTTAGCAAAAATCTGAGCTGTAATAAGCTCATTGAAAATCTGAACACTAGAGTAAAGTGAGCCTTGAGTGGAGTTTTATCCTTTTACAGCAAGACAAGCAGAAGAACGGTTCTGGCAGCACTAAAGCTCTATAGATCTGAGGCAGAATCCATTTTATTATATGGAGCAGAACTTTGGGGTACTGACCCTATGGTCTACCCAAACCATTTCTAATAATTTTTTAAGGTGGCTTTTATCTCTCTCTCATTCTATTTGGGGGGGGGCGGGAGGAGGTGGCAGGGGAGGCAACTCATGCACTCTGAAACTCGACTGCTAAGTGTGAGCATCTTAGCTCAATTAATCGTCAAAATTACTTGATGGAAGTTACTGTATTTACCTGAATCCACGATAAACTTGAATTTCAGATGATACCTCCAATAATTAGATTATATACATAGAAAAACTATACATTTGTTACAAAAGATTAATTTAAAAATTGTAATGATGCCTATATCATGTTACTCAAGTCTTAACAAATTTGTTTTACTTTGTCTGACTTTACATGATGGTAGTTCAGAGAGGGAGGAAACAACCCTGAAACTATATTACTACATTTTAATGGAAGAACAAAGAAGATTTCTTGTTTACGTAATATATTACCTGCATGGTCCTATCTTCTTTTTTAAAAGACATGCTTTTTTTTTTAATGCAGCACGGTAGCTCAGGTGAATGAACATAGGGCATGAAAAGTTTCATTAAGATCCAGGGTAATACACTTGAAGCTGCTTAAGCTATGTCTTAGCCTGTGTTAACCGGCATCTTGATCAGGGTTTTCATTTGCTTCCAGTTAACTTAAGTTAGCAAAGCAACTGGAAAATTCACCCTTATTTCCTATCAAGATGAGGCCTAAAAGACAAATACAAAGCTTCCTGTTGTGACTTAAATTTTGATTTGCATTGCCTAGATCTCATGTTTTACATTATTTTGTAAAATAGATCTTGGCAGAAGGCTTTGAAATAATAAGGTCTTCCTTATGTGAGTGATGAGAGGAATCTAATATAGTGATATTTTCTGTGAATCTTTTTATTTTTAAATGTTGCATCCAAGTACATGTTTGCATCCTTAACTTTTTAATTTTAGTTACAAGCTGTGTAAAATCAGTAAGCAATAAACTTGAGTGCATATAATGCTGCAACTATTATGTGGGCAGGAATAGCACTTCAAAAAGTGGGAAAATTTCATACAGTTTGTGGCTTGGGTTTCTAATTAAGAAATGTCAGATGACATACCTAGTGGTGGCAGTGGTACTCATAGGACTAAAATGGGGAAAAAAAAATTAAATAATAACAAACCAATCCTGCTTAGCTTCACGGTTGTAATGGATGTTTTTGTTTTGACTTGAACAAAGCAGTATGCTAGTTGTTGGATGAAAGATAGCTTCATTTGATAATTGTCGGTGTTACTATATTTGCTCATATACCTCAAGTTCCTGTTGTCCCGTTCTTCCCCTCCCCCCCCCCCAGTGAAAAATGAACCTTGTTTTTGGGAAGGCAGAATGACCAAAAAAAAAAAAAAAAATTCAGTTACAGCTGCATAAAGAATGGAGCGAGCCTAATCTTCATTTTACCATCCTGTTCCTATTTAATCAAAAGCTGAAATCCCATCTG